TCATAGCGACCCTGCACAGGGTTTCCGAGGCTGCAAATCTTTATGGGAGCAGAAAGCCTCATCTTTTTCCAGCAGAACAGCTGGTAGTTTCGAACTGCCGACCTTGAGGTTAGCAGTCCAACTTGTAACCATTACACTACTAACACCCCAGAAAATCTGGTTTGTCTATGCTGGAGGATCCAGCTCAACAGTCTTGGGCCGATGTCACCCTGCCCCCAGCAGTCCCCTACTCACTCAGAGGTGGCCAGGTCTCTCTTCAGTCTGTGGAAAGTAAGGGAGAGCTGGTTAGCCAGTTCTCAGCTTTGCCCATTTGTGTCCCAGGAGTTCAGGTACATGTGGAGAGGCTCAGGTATATACCAATAGCTCCTGGCACCAGGGGATTGGACCACTGACAGTCCTCTTCTTCTGGTTGAGGACCCCCACTTCCTGAGAGGTCTGCTCCAGTGCAGCATTAGGGCCACAAAGGGTCCACAAATGTAAGTATCAGCCTCAGTGCCCTCCCTGCCCTCTTCTCCCACACTCACCGTCCCTCCCGCCGGCAGCACATGACATAGGCCAGCAGCAGGGTGAGCAGCAAGGCCACCAGCAAGGGCACCAGGAGGGTGATCAGTGCATCTGTCAGGAAGTCCCGGGCCGTGGCCTCAGTGGGTGGGCAGAAGAACGGGTCGTGTTCCAGGATCCCATCACCTGGAACGGGCATCTCATCCGCAGGCTCAGGCACCGACTTGTCCACCTGGTCAGGGAACCCAGGGCTGACCAGGAGCTGCTGGAGCAGCTAGTTGGGACAGAGAGCCCCCAGGGAACAGGGTAGGATTCCCTCCTGTCTGCCTTCCCCAGCTCGTGTGACCTAGCAGGACAAGCAGTAGACTAGCAGGCTGGAGAGACAAGCTCAAAAGAGAGGCAGGGCAGTACAATGATTAGAGCACAGCTAAGCTGCCTTGGTTGGGATCCTTGACTTGGACAAGTGTTTACCTGCATTTGCTCATCTCTAGGTGCCTCAGTTTCCTCATCTGTAAACTTAAGTGGCAATAGGGTATCTAACTCCCAGGAGTGTGTGTGAGGATAATACTTGTTGAATTTGGTGTGCCTAGCACATAGTGAGGGCCAGGAATGTTGCCCATTGCCAATCCCTGCCTGTGTGACCAGAACAAGTCTCTCCCTGCTCTGTCAGCCCCCTGGCTGCGGAGTCAGAGTCTCTCGGGGGCCCTAGATCATTGCTGTGTGCTGTTGAGTTAAGGCCAGTTCATCACCATCCCATAGGTTGCATTCTTGCAGATTGTCATGCCCTTCTCTCATGCACTGAGTGCGTTTGAACTGCCAACCTTTTGCTTAGTAGCCAAGCAGGTTTCCTTTAAGCACGTGTTAGGTCAGGTGCTGTCAAGTTGGTTCTGACCCATAGTTATCCTGTGAACGAAACACTGTCTGGTCCTGTGCCATCCTCACAACTCTTGTTACGTATGAGCCCATTGCTGCTGTCACAACGTCAGTCCATCTCATTGGGGGTCTTCCTCTTTTTCAACAATCTTCTACTTTACCTCTCTGATAATGGGTCTGAAATATGAGCGATGAAGTCTCGCCATTCTGGCTTCTAAGGAAGGAGCATTCTGATTGTACTTTTTCCAAAACAGATTTGTTTGTTCTTCTAGAAGTCCAAAGTACTTTTAACAATCTTCGCCAACACCATAATTCAAATGTATTGATTCTTCTATAGTCTTCCTTATTCGTTGTTCAATTTTCACATACTTATAAAGCTACGGAAAATACCATGGCTTGAGTCAGGAGCACATTAGTCCTGAATCTGACATCTCTGCTTATGAACACTTTAACGAGGCCTTGTGCAGCAGATTTGATTTCGTAACTGCTTCTTCCATGAGTGCTGATTGTGGATCCAAGCAAAATGAAGTCTTTGACAACTTAAGTCTTTTCTCCATTTATCATAATATTTATTGGTTCCGTTGTTAATGCTTTTTGTTTTCTTTATGTTGAGATGCAATCTATATTAGAAGCTGGAGTCTTTGATCTTCATCAGTATTTTAAGTCCTCTTTACTTTCAGCCAGCAAGGTTGTATTATCTGCATGACGCAGGTTGTTAGATACCTCAATAACCCTACTATTGGCTTAATAACCCAAGAGCAATGGCAACTGTCTTTGGTGTATACAAAATGGAGTTGAGAGTTATCCTTTTCTTACCCTGATGGCTCAGCAGTTAAGCACTTGATTGCTAACCGAAAGGTTGATGGCTAATCATTTCACTGGAGGAAGATATATTGTTGTTGTTGTTAAGTGTTGGTGAGTCATTTCTGACTCATAGCAACCCTGAATAGGAAGCTTTCCAAAGAGCAGCAGGTGTGTTTGAACAGCCGACCTTTCAGTCCAGTGCTTATCCTACAGAGCTACACCAGGACTCTGGTGGAAGATACAGCAGTCTGTAAAGATTTACAACCTTAGAAACCCTTTGGGACCATCTACTGTGTACTTTAAGGAGCTCTGGTAGCGTAGTGGTTATGAATCGGGCTGTAATCCTTAAGGTCAGCAGTTCGAAACTACCAGCCGCTCCACAGGAGAAAGATAAGGATTTCTGCTCCGGTAAAGATTTACAGCCTCGGAAATCCTTTACAGGGTCGCTATGGGTCGGAACCGACTCGACGGCACTTAACAACAAGTATATCCTTTAGGGTCATTATACAACAACAACAACAACAATATATATATATATATAGAGAGAGAGAGAGAGAGAGAGAGAGAGAGAGAGAGAGAGAGAGAGAGAGAGAGAGAGAGTGCATCAAACACGACACCTTCAAAAGGCGCAGGCTGAGCTGTTTGTAACTGCCCAGAGTGATTGATTGCTCTAGCCTTAGGTCTGAATCGCCGGGGAATCCCGGAACAGGATTGTGGACTCTGCCGCCCTCTTGTGGAGCATGGTCCCCTGCACAGTTCTCACAGGGATCAGGGAAAGAAGAACTTGAGGCGTGAGGGAGAGAATTGTGCCGGGGATCCACAGCCAGGGTCTCTCCTTACCAGGGACACATTGCACCAGGCAACACGGAAGTGGGGTGCCAAGGTGTCATAGCAGGACAGAAGTGGAGACTGGCCCTGAGCGCAGCGCGCGCGGCTGTCCGGGAACGCCACCATCTTCAGGCAGGTAGAGAAAGGTGAGGTAGAGCCCACCTTAATGTACACCCTGAGCCCAGATAGAAGCAGCTGTTAGTGAAGTGGAGGGAAGGGCTGGAGATATGGGGGTTACAGGACTCACCCTGAAATCAGGGATATGGTCAGAAGGTATAGATCACAACACTGAAGGAGGCTTCAAAAGGTCCCGGGGGGGAAATGGAATTAAGAGATAATAACATTTTTCCATGAACTTTTTGAAGCCTTCTCCATTCCCGGGGGGAAATGGAATTAAGAGATAATAACATTTTTCCATGAACTTTTTGAAGCCTTCTCGCACCTTGAACCCACCAGCTACTCTGTGGGAGAAAGATTTACAGCCTTGGCAACCCCAGGGGGAAGTTCTCTGTTCTACAGGATTGCTGTGAGTTAGAATCAGCTTGACGACAGTGAGTTTGGTTTTGGTTAGGTGATTAGGGAGACCCCTGTTCTAAGCCCACACCCCAGGTGACAGGCAAGCTATCTCCTCCTGCTTCAGGAAGCCCTCCTGGGTTGCACACCTACCCTTCCTTTCGGCCTTCGATGGGAAGAGGGACGCGGCCCCCACGGTCCAAGGCAGAGGTGATGTTGATGAGCTGGAGCTCCCCTGTCTCCCAGAGCCCCCGCAAGGCTGTGAGGAAGCGGCTGGCAGGTGTCGAGGGCAACACTTCCTCTACATCATGGCTCTGTACCAGGAACTCAGCCTGATACGGCAACAGGGGGCCTGCGTGGGCCAGGTGGGGTGTCTCAGGCCACACCCAGCCCCCAGCTCTGTCCTGCAACCCCACTCTAGGTTCCTCCGCCCCTCTCTCACGTCCCTTCCTGCCTCCCCTTCCCCTTCCCCAACACCCCACACATCACAGATCCTAACACGGCAACCTTCATGACTTGCTCAAGGCCACAAAGCCTGTCATCTGAGAAGCCAATAACTCTAGAGTCATCCAGGAAGAAGCTCTGGTAGGTAGCATAGTGACTATGAATCAGACTGCTAACCTCAAGATCAGCAGTTCGAAACTACTAACTGTTCTGTGGGAGAAAGGTGAGGCTTTCTGATCCTATAAAGATTTACAGCCTCAGAAACCCTATACACGGTCGCTATGAGTTGGAACCAACTCCACAGCACATAACCACCACCACCACTGACTATCCAGAGCTCATCTCTTAAAAGTCTTTCAAGTGCCACCTCCTCACTCAGAGTCTCCATCTCCCAGGATGCCCTGCTCCCCACTACTCTCCAGGACTCTCACTTCCACAGGACCTTTAGCCTCCAGCTTCAGAAGATCCTCATCGGTGGGGTAGGGGTGGGACAGGACTTAGTACCTGCTGGGTCTCCAATCAGCAGTACCAGTTTCTGCTGGGTAGTCTCAAAGCTGTCCCGATTGTAGGCTACTACCTGGAAGAATGGGGGAGAGAAGAAGATGGAGCCTGGCAGGAGAGGACTACATTACCACACCAAGTCAGAGGTATGGAAATTATATATGGAGTTCCTGGGCCAGGCAAATGGTAAATAGGTAAGTTTCTCAGCTGCTAACTGAAAGGTTAAGGAGCTCTGGTAGCATAGTGGTTACGAATCGGGCTGCTAATCTCACAGTCAGCAGTTTGAAACTACCAGACGTTCCGCAGGAGAAAGATGAGGCTTTCTGCTCCCGTAAAGATTTACAGCCTCAGAAACGCCGTACAGGGTCGCTATGAGTCAGAAACAACTCCATGGCACATAACAACAACAACAACAACAGAAGGGTTAGCAATTCAAGCCCACCCAAAGGTACCTCAAAAGAAGGTGATCTACTTCAGAAAAAAATCACCTACTGAAAATCCTGTGGAGCTCACAGTTCTACTCTGACACACACATGGGCTATAGGGGAGCCACGGAGTGGCAAGCAACCTACTGGGCTGCAAGTGTAAAAGATGATATGCAAATGAATGTGAGCAGACCCAGTGCTCATAGGCCACCAAGACAACCCCGCGACTTCCTGAGGGGTGGGCATGGCCCACTGAGGTCTCTGCTATACCTCGATGATCTGGCGGCCTCGATCTTCTGAGGTGGCAGTGCCGTAGAGGAAGCCGGGGTTGTGGGGGCTTCGCTGGGTGTAACGGAGCCATCGGGGCAGGTCTGGATGTCCCTGCAGGTGGGCCTGGTAGGTGATGCGGACGGAAGGTGGGACAGCTGGTAGAAGACAGGAGAGAGGGTTGGAAGCAGGATTGGAGCCTTCACCCCCTCCAGGCACCTGGGAAAGCTAACTTACGGACATGCTCGGGGAGGCGAAGGAAGGTGGCATGGTCCAAAGTGTGCACAAAGACGCGACCCACGAGTGGGTGTAGAGTGACCGGCTGGGCCTCGATGCCTGCCAGACCTGCCAGGAGACCTGTGGGGACCCCAGAGCACCCCCCAGATCAGCCTGAGTCCTGGGCCAGGAAATAAGCTCCCTGTCCCCAGCAAACCCCCACCAAGCTCTGGTGACCCTGTGTGAGAGAAGGGGGCTCCTTGATGAGCTTGCAGGAGAGGTTATGAGGGGGCAGGGGCAGACCCATGACTGGTTCCCACCTTACCCATGGCAATACTATTTCTGGGCCTAGTTCCTTTATTCGAATTCATGGGAGGGACACCTCCCCCCCCCCCACCTTCCCAATGCTCATTTTAGCCCTTATTGGGGTCACAGTGGGCAGAGCCTGAAGTTTGGTTGGAGGAGTGTGCATGCACGTGTGTTCTGCCACAAGAATCCACCCTGAGCATCTGGGAGCCTGGGAAGGGAGAGGAAAGAAGGCACCTTGGAGTGGGAGGGAGACAGTAATGGACCCCACCCCACCATCTTCTCTTCCTAGTACTGGGAGGAGCAAGACCTGGCCAATGGAACTGAGTCCAGGGGACCTGCATCAGAAGAGGACCCTTGGCCTACCCAGCAGCCTCTTGCCCAGGGCCAAATTTAGCCTGGACCTCAACAGAAGTGGCAGCGGTTCAGCCAGATCATTAAAGGGCCCAGGGCCCCCCAGGACCTAGGACATCCTCAGCCCTCAGAGCTCCTATCCCTACATTTCAGAACCCACAGCCCACAGCCCAGCTCCCCGTCCCAGTTCCCTGGACTCCCAGCAGCAGGCTCATAAACACCCCAAAGCTCCTCCAGCCTCTGCTTCACCCATTCCAGCTCCCTCCCTGGAGAACCTTCTATTAGAATTATCTTTCTCACCACCCCTCACCCCAGAAACTTCCCTGAAGAGGGCCCCAACTTGCCCACAAGGAGAGAAATCCAGACCCGTGTTGCTGCCATGGCTTCCCCAGCCTGGCAGGGCCCCATGAGTGACAGGGACAAGAGCAGGGAAGGAGGGAGGGCAGAGGGGAGGCGTGGAGCAGCTGGGTTCCTCCTCACCCCCACGCAGAGCAGACATTGAATCTGAGTGGACACCGTCCTCACAGAACAGCGTTTCTTCTGTGCTCCTCACTTCGTTCCGTTGCCCAGAGGATGCTTTCTGAAATGCCAGCCTAATGACATCAGTTCTCCTATAAAGTCCCAATGGCTGCTAGTGCCCTTAGTTCACCAGCTGAGGATGGCTACTGTTGTTATTGAATTAGGAACCCCCAAATATGTACCGTAAATCCTAATCCCCTTACCTGTGGTTAGAATGAGGAAATATTAGTGTGGAGGTGGTGGTGTGTCGTGAAGTCAGTTCTGACTCACAGTGACCCTGTATAGATCTACAGATCTTTATGGGAGCAGAAAGCCTCCTCTTTCTCTCACACAAATAACTTAGTGGTTAAGTGCTTGGCTTCTAACCCAAAGGTTGGTAGCCCCAACCTACCAGCTACTCTATAGAAGAAAGATACGACCATCTTCTATAGAGACTACAGTTTTGGAACCCTACGGGGCAATTCCACTGTCTATAGGGTCGCCATGTGTTGGAACCAACTGTATGGCCACGGATTTTGAGATTCTATTAGTGTAAGGTGTGTCTTAAATCAATCTCTTTTGAGATATAAAAGAGCCGACTGAGCAAGCAAGCAGAGATGGGGAAGACAGATGTCATGACACAAGGAGATCATTAAGAAGCCAAGGAAAAGAAGAAACTGAAAAGAAAGTACAAAGAGCTGACCAAGGAAGGGAGCTTTGCCTTACAGCCAGGCCTTCTAGCCTCTTAAACTGTGAGAAATAAGTTTCTGTTTATTCAAGTCACCGACTTGTGGTATTTCTGTTGTTGTTGTTAAGTGCTATTCCACTGGTTCCGACTCATAGTGACCCTGTATAGAGTTTCTGAAGAGTGGCTGGTGCGTTTGAATCACCAACGTTGCAGCTAGCAGTCCAGGGCTTATCCTACAGCGCCACACCAGGACTCCATTGCTGTTATAACAGCATTGGTGTTGTTGTAAAGTACCGTGGAGTCAGTTCCGACTCATAGCGGCCCTGTATAGGGTTTCCGAAGCTGTAAATCTTTACGGGAGCAGAAAGCCTCATCTTTCTCCCACGGAACAGCTGGTAGTTTCGAACTGCTGACCTTGAGGTTATCAACCCGACTCGTAACCACTACACTACCAGAGCTTCTTAGATAACTAAGAAAGAGACCAAGAGTGGGTTTAGTTATGTTGTTGTTGTTGTTAAGTGCCGTCGAGTCGGGTCCGACCCATAGCGACCCTGTACAGGGTTTCCGAGGGTGTAAATCCTTACGGGAGTAGAAAGCCTCATCTTTCTCCCGCGGAGCAGCTGGTAGTTTTGAACCGCTGACCTTAAGGTTCGCAGCCCGATTCGTAACCACTACGCTACCAGAGCTCCTTGGGTTTAGTTATGTTTCCTAGTTATTTGTCCCTTCAGTACCTGGCCATCCCATCTAGGATCATGTCTTCACACTGCTCTTCCCTCCTTGCCACCCCACCTCACTGCCATTGCCCTGGCTACCCGGAAGCCACACCTTGCTGCTCCCTAGCCTGACATTCACAGGCCTTCACAACTTCCCTCTCTGCCTGGAGTTCCCTTCCTGCCCTCATTCAACCTGCACGCTTCCACTAGCCTCCCAAGACTTAGTACAGATAGCCTCTCCCCTTGGCAGCCTTTCTGACCCCCAGCCCTTTAGCTCTACTGGGTGTCCTTTAGGTCCTGTACACATTCCTATTCCAATGCTAAGCACACAACCTGTGCAGGCTGTGAGCTCTTTGGAGACTAAACCAAACGTTCTGACTCATGGTGATCCCATGTGTTTCAGAGTAGAACTCTCTCCATAGGTTTTCATTGGCTGTGATCTTTTAGAAGTAGATTGTCAGAATTTCTTTGGAGGCACTTCTGGGTGAACTGCAGCTGCCAAGCTTTCAGTTAGTGGTAAAATTCACAACCATTTTTGCCACCCAGGAACTCCCCTTGGAGACTAGAATCTGATGATCTTTGTATCCCTGGATCTGGTGCAGGACCTGGCACATAGAAGGTATAGAAGACTAGGTTCCTTTACAATATTCAGTCCATTCGTCCAGCCTTATCCTCAGACCAAGCATCCTCAGTGGGTACTCAAGGACAGGACCAGCCAGGTGGAGACAGTTGAAAGGATGAGGAGCTCTCTCTTGCTCAGGGGCACTGACTGAGTCCCACCTGGGTTGGTCACTAGAGGTGTGGCCTGGAGGTAGTTACTCAATCTCTTAGTTTCTGGAAAACAACGTTCTCCTCTGGGAATCATTGTGCGCAATCAGCAAACCAATAAATTCAGCACAGATTTATTGATCACCTACTATGTGACAGGCACTGAGGGTTCAGTGAGATGCAAATCTGCCCAGAGACTGCCTGATGGTGGGAATCATAGCTGGTCCTTATTGCTACTGTACTGAAGCTTTTACATATTGTTATTGGTAAGTGCTCTGGAGTTGGCTCTGGATCATAGTAACCCTGTATAGGGTTTCTAAGGCTATAAATCTTGGCAAGAGTAGAAAACCTCATCTTTCTCCCATGGAACAGATGGTGGGCTTGAACTGCAACCTGGTGGCTCACAGTCCAGGACTTATCCTATATTAACTCACTTCCTTCCCATAGCAGTTCCACGAGGCAAGTACTATCATTATCACTCCCATTTTACAGATGAAAAACTGAGGTACAGCTGATGAGTTGAATGCATGCAAAGCATTTTTTATGAATTAAAGGCTTACTAAATGTAGCTGTTGTGCATTCTGACTGAACACCACTTATTCCTTCCTGCATCTTAGTCCTGGAATGAAGTAGGGGGTGCCTTTCTCTCCACTCAAAGCAGCAAAGAGACACCACTCCCTAGGTGCCCTGAGAGGGAGAGACACTGACTCATGGATTCCAGGGGTCCACAGTCCTTGGTGGTCAGGTATGAGTCTATTATGAGAGCAGTAGGATGAAGGTGCTGCCCACCTCAACCCTGAGTAAACACCCTGGGTAAGGACATCCAGGACCTGGTCAAGGTCAAACCTCAGGGATAAAGTCTGTGGATTGGGGTGACTTGTAGGTAGGTTACTTAGTCCTTGTCCCTTCCTCTCTCTCCCACCTGACTGTCCCACCCATCCCTAGAGAGTCACTAAATTCCAGAGTCAGCATCCACTCAGCTTCTCAGGTGGTGTGTTTGCCCCAGAATCACCTTGGCATCCCAGCTGCGCCTTCTCAGGGATGGGGGACAAGAGGGAAGAATACTCTGGAGGCAGAGAAAGAGTTGGAGGGTTCTGGGCCAGCTGCCCAGGCCTCAGCCCCTTAGCGGCTCCATGTGACTCCCTGCCCCGCCCCCCTGCTGCCTTCCTTGCTATTTTTGGAGCCACCCACTCACAGCCTCAGCTGTCTTAAGGTGGCAGTGCCACCAGGCCCAGGGAGGCCTTCCTTACTGAAGAGTTGTACCCACTTCCCCTGGGGAGATCCTCTCAGGGGAGCCAGCTGGAAGCCTCAGGAAAGCCTCTCCTGGTTCCAGGCTCACCTGAATCCTCCAGGTTTCTATCTGGGCTGCAAACTTCCTGCTGTGACTGGGGGGTGGGATGGGGTCACATTTTAAAGTAAAACAAAAATCCATAGAACAATGTATCTATTACCTCATTAATTATGAACTCATGGCCAATCTGATTTAAGCTATACACTTCCCATTTTCCCCTCTCCATTGGATTTCACGTATGACTACTTTAGAGCATCTCTCTAAAAGATGTTGCTGTTGTTGGGTACCACTGAGTCAATTTCAACTCAAAGTTACAGATTAAAACTGCCCCATTGAGTTTTCTAGACTGTAATCTTTGTGGGTGGAAAACTACAGCCTTCAGTATGGATTGCATCTCAACATAAAATAAAAATCCTCACAACTGGACCCATAAATAACATCATGATAAATACAGAAAAGACTGAAGTTGACCAAGACTTCATTTTGCTTGGATCCATTATCAATATTCATGGAAGCAGCAGCCAAGAAATCAAACAACATATTGCATATGGGGCAAATCTGCTTCAAAGAACCTCTTAAAAATGCTAAAGAGCAAAGATGTTCACTTTGGGGGACGAAGGGATACCTGCTCCTAACCATGCAAGTCATCTCATATGCAAGTGAAAGTTGGGCAATAAATACAGAAGACAGGAGAAGACGTGATGCATTTGAATTATGGTATCAGAGAAGAATATTGACAGTACCATGGACTACCTACCGAAGAACAACCAAATCTGTCTTGGAAGAAATAGAGCCAGAATGCTCCTTATAGAATGGCGAGACTTTGTCTTTCATATTTTGGACATGCTGTCAAGAGGGACCAGTCCCTGGAGAAGGATATCATGTTTGGTAAAGTGGAGGGTCAGTGAAAAAGAGGAAGTTCCTCAACAAGATGGAATGACACGAAAGGAAATGCAGATAGGTCTCTTGTGATACAATAGTGAATAATTGTTATCAGGACTGATTGTGAGGGTTAGAAATGTAAAGGTAGATGTTTTATAGCAAGGAGGAGAGTGACTAACTTTGCAGTCTAGGAGCGGAGGTCCCTGGGACCATGAAGGGAGAAGAGCGGAAAGTAGGACCCTACCCAGAGAAGCAGTGATGCCAGAGATGGAGGCAGAGAAGATGATGTGGAGAGATGGAGCAGTTGGGGACTTTAGACCCAGAGGGGCTATGTGCTGATGATGGAGGGGCAGGCTTGCAGGTAAATCCTTTGGTTGGTTGATGATGCATGGAGGGGATTGGAACCATGGCAATGAAACGATATGTGATAGGATGAAGGTAAAACTAATGTTCTCCCATGTAAACTATCACATAATTCACAATAAAACATTAAAGCAAAAAGATGGAATGACACAGTTACTACCACAATGACTCACATATAACACCCATTGTGAGGATGCACAGGCCTGGG